TCTCTCTCTCTCTCTCTCTCTCTCTCTCTCTCTCTCTCTCTCTCTCTCTCCTTCTCTCTGTCTCTGTCTCCATCTCTCTGTCTCTCCCTCTCTCTCCCCCCTCTCTCTGTCTCTGCCTCTCTCCCTATCTCCCTCTCTCTCTCCCTGTCTCTCTCTCTTTCTCTCCCTCTCTCTCTGTCTCTCTCTCTCCCTCTCTCCCTCTCTCTTTTTCTCCCCACTCTCTCTTCTCTCTCCCTCTCCCCCTCCCCCTCTTTATATTCCTTTCTTTCCTACCTCTTTCCTCTCCCCTTCTTTAATCTCCCTTCACTATCTATAAAGCTTTGATCTTATTCCTTCAATAGGTCCCTCACTGAGCTGTCCCTGGTCTCAATTGCCCCTTCTCTACCTAATTCCACCAAGGCTAGAGAACATTTGAGGATTGTAGAGCCTGCTCCTCAGCCACTCAGAGACTGGAGCCCATGGTGGAAGGGAAGAATATTTAGGGGATGAGGATGTCAGTATTCAGAATTTAGACCCTCCCCCTCTGGCAAAGAGCTCTGGATAGCTGTCTCTGGGGCCTCCCCTTCCCCCATTTCCAGTTCCAGACTAGAAGTCATCCTCTATAGTTCCCTCTTTCCTCCTCCCACTTCCCGTCCTCCCACACCAACTCTCTCTCAAAGATCAGGAAAGGGAAGATTTTCCTCAGGGTTAAACTACAGTTCCAGTCTATCTCTATTCTAGTCCTTGTTTCAATACCTTCTTCCTCGAACAAGCTCCTTGGGAACCCCTGATTTTCTTAAGCTAGCTGCCCTCTTCCCTTGAACTCAGAGACAGCCTTTCCCTGCCAGGACAACTCCCAACTCCCCATCTGGCCATGCCTACTGTAAGGAGAGAACCAGCACATCATTACTTGGGATATTTATGATATGATGAGGGGACTGGGTCTTGATGGCTGTCATCGTGAAAGCCATAGTCCAACTACATTAGGGCTGCCAAGAGTCTATTTCTCTTCCACTACTAATTCAACTTCATTGTTACCTCACTCCCTCCTCCCATTCTTTTTTAAAAACTCACTTATCACAAGGAACCTAAGTTCCTGTTTCTTAGAAGTTACTGTTTCCCCTCTCTTCCTTCACTTCCAGAGTTAGACAGAACCAAGGGACGAAAGGGCCTACGTCTTGAAGAAAGGGCCAATTTCTACCCACAGAGGGGAAAAGCCCATGAAGCAAGAATGACGTGGCAACATCTGGTGCAGCTGCAGAGAAATCTGGAGTCTGGGAAAGGTCAATGAGAAGTCAGCGTATTGGTTAAGGAAGTTTCACCACCCAAGCTAGGAAAGGGTGTCAGGAAGACAGTAATAGAAATTCTGTTTATTATATGGCATAGGAGTGTCAAAGAACTTATTGGTGTAGGACACCTGAGAGATATCCACCTATTTCCTTCAAAGGGAAATCAAAGCTCTAGATGGGATGCCTCTACTGTAGCACTACTTCCTGAAAATCTGTCCAGGTGCCAACTGAGAGGAGTCAACTGGCAACAGATGGGGAAAGGAGAGGTCCAGCAAAGTGCCCACACACACACACAAATAGCTAACACTAGGCCAAGCTTACCTCAGAAGTGCCTGCCTTCCATTCCCACCCCTAACTTCTAGCCTATGTCTTCCTTTCTGTAGATCCAGAGAAGACGTCCATAGCACTGTCCTCCTTCACAAGGATCAGTTTCTAAGAGAAGAAGCCAAGATTTCCCTTCATTCAACCCTGAGAGGGGACTTTCACTTTCTTTGTTTCTCTCCATGTGTGCCTGTCTTATCTCTATCATTCCCAGAAAGAAATGGATACCTATGACCAATTCCTCCCTTCCCCCAGGAGCAAAAATGACATGAAAGACAGAGACTATCCAGGGTGCTGAAAAGCAAAACTTGAACTCAGACCTTACAGCAGCCTCACCTTGTCTGAGGCACCAGAACTCCTTAGAAAATTTCCTGTGCTCATTCACCCAATATGTTCCCTTCATCAGGAAGAGGAAAATCAGCCACCTGCCTTTGGAAGTTAAACGCAGAAAGGAGCCACAGAATTGTCCACTTATTTTATTCCTACATCCATGTCTTGAGAATTGTTCCCTCTGCCACATTATCCTTTCTTCCATGTCATTGCCCCATATTCTGATGGCAAAGGACCAACCCTCTCCTAGACAAAGTGTGTCATCACCACCCTTCTTCTAGACTTAGGGTATGACCTTTAATCTGGAGGTTCAGCGGTAGGAATGATTAATAGTTAACGTGTGTATGAGGGGGATTGTAATAAGTTTGGCGTAAATGTAACTTGGCAGACATTGATGCGAAGAGGAGAGAGTTCCTACAGAAAGTAGGAATCAAAGAAAGAATTTGGGGGATCCATGCTTATCCCACTGGGAGAAAGCCCAGAAAAATCTGGTTTGGTGGAGAGGAAGGGTCAAGCATCCTTAACCTCCCTTTTACATAAAGTCAGCCTCTTGCCTATCCTGTGCTGAGTTTTCTTATTAAGTCTTTTCCCACAGTCCTTCCCCAAATACCCTTTCCTGTCTTCTGTCCCTAGTTGGGATGAAGGGAAATCAGAGACCAGGGGAACAGAGAAAGCAGAAATAATTATTGTGGGGGACTTAAGTGGCCTCCTTAGTACTTATCAGGGTAATTGCT